CTGCTCAATCAGTATTGAATTAGTTTTTGTTTAGATGTGGCTCATTAAAAAATTTTAAGGCACATAGCTGCCTGAAAGGGTGGATTCAAGAATGGAGCTGGGAGGACAGGGAGAAAATGAACATACAAATCTTTGGAAAAATATTTAAAGAAATGATGATAAAAAGCAGTAAGGTTTGAAGGGGTACAAGAATACTTGAATTTAGTCAAGTTCTGTTTTTCTACTACAGATGTTCTGCTAACTAGAGCAGAGATGTTCAGAGACCACATATTGGCTGTAAAATCCTAGGACTGAGATTAATTAAATGTCTGCTGCTCCTCATAGAAACTAGACTCCAGAGTTTTTCAGGACTTCTAGCCTTCTGAAAGAACAGCTGTAGAATACATCATGTGTATATCTTGCACTCTAAAAATGTATTTTTATAACAAGTGTAATTTTTTATAAGGAAAGTTTACCATCTTACCCTTCCTCTGATTATCTTGCTGCTGTTCTGAAAAAAAAAAAAAAAAAGGATAAGAGTCTGATACTTACTATACTAACATCTGATACTTCCTGCACAGCACTGTCTCCACCCAACATGTGGTTTTAAACAAAATTCATAGCAGGTTCAATGGTCACAATTATTCACTTATGTTATGGTTTACATGAGTTCATTTCTTGCAATAGTTGTAAGAAGGTGAGGACACCATTCCAGTTTATTCTGTAGGTCAATACGTAGGAAATATGACTTCTCACTTGTGCTTCCTTTCTCTCCTGACTGGACAATGTCATAGCTTCTTTTGATCAGTAAACTCACTCCTCCTCTTGATCATGCAATATAGTCAAGAAGTACACTTTTATTATCTGATACATTTTTATATATGATTAATCTTGCAGAAATCTCTTTTCCTCCTCCATAAATGGATACCCTAACAATCTGATTTCTATGCAGGCTTCAGACAGTTTCCTACATCAATTTGATATGGTACCCACAAATTCACAGTATTCTTGTGTTGTTACACTAAAAGGATACTGCTATTTAAGCAGTGCCCAAACCAGCTTTAACATTGTTACCCGTCCTGGCTGCCTCCTTAGCTCTTACAGAAAAACGAGGCTGATGTCAAATGTAAAATCTTCAGCCTGCTGGAACTGTTATATACTTAATACATTACATACACATGCCACTTATAAAAACACAAACCCCAAGCCAAAGGCGTCTCCTTCGCTCCCACATGGCTGTAGTTGAAGAAGATGTCATTGACCATAAAGAAGCAAGTAAAACATTTTGCCTTAAAGCTACAGTGGTTCACACAAAATAGATTTGCATTTCTTACCAAATATGACTGCTTTAATTTTATTATTTTGTTGTAACCAAAGATATTTTTCTTCTAAACCTGGCCAATTACAACAACTACAGGTGGTCACACACAGTGGTGGCTTGTGAGGGGCACAGAGGCACAACCTGACTAATGCCATCCAGGAACTTGTGCACTGAGAAACACCAGCCCGTGTCTTCATTGTGAAAATACTTTTTGTTTTTTTCTGAGGTAAACGTTACTTGACCTTTAAATAAATAATGTAGGGCCTACAAAAACTTTGGACTGGAGTCCTTAGAAGTGCCAGCTGTGTGTGGAGGAAATGCCAGCTGTGGAAATGAGAGAATGTGCAGCCCGCAGCAAGCTTCCCACTACTGCCTTTGCCACATGCAATATGAGAAGGATGAAGAAGTGAGCTCAGTCTCCAGAAGCACTCAGTTCCCAGCACATCTACTAAGGCTGGCAGGAACGATGCACCAATAATGGTGATGTTGGCTTATTTATCAACCACAAACCCATTTCAATATCAACAAGCAAGTTAGAGTCAGTCAAAACAGCTGCCAGGAGGAGTCCATCTGAATGGGCTTTCATAGCATGCAAGCCACGTAAAGACACATAGTCCAAATAAGGGACAATTTTGACCATGCCACTTTTTTAAGGCAGGCAGGGGTCAACAGCTGTGTAACTTCTTCCAAATGCTGCTGTTATCTAGTCCTTTCCAGAATGCTAGCCAAAAATATTCATCTTTAAGAGTTATTTGCAAAATAACTTATAATGAGTATTTTATTTAATAATGAGCACTTTAGAAATGTCTTCAGTGGTTTTAATATGTCACTATAGGAAAGCTTTAAAATTAATAGATTAAACATTGTAATAATAATATTTGTAGTATTAAAACTGCTGACAAGACCAATAAACCATGGTGGATTTGAGAAGCAGAAAAGTATTGCAAATAGATTTTGGAGGGATAAAGATTTGAACAACCTCCTGTTGCAGGCAAGCTTGATCTTACTGATATGCATATTAAAAATGTCCCACTAAGTTAATAGAGGCTTTCAATTCTCAGAAGTGATAAAACTGTCCCATATAAGAAGTGTGTTGCTACAGGTAGCATCTTGGATAGGAAATTACCCAAACCTGGGTCTAGTTGCCAGAAATAAACCTGTGTTGATAAACAAGTCCATCAAATGTTTTTTGGTTGATATTACTTTAGAGCATTTCGACCAGTCCATTTTCTTGTGTTTGATTGGCACTTCCTATAATTTTCTAAAAAAAACTGGTATCTCTCATAGCAATTGCTGTCTCCCCTGTGCAATTGCATAGAACTGTCAGACACTCCTAGCACCAGAAAAATAAAAGCTGACCAGAATTTTATTTTCTTTTCCAAGGAGTAAGAGTTAAGTTAATGGTGAAAGAGGGGTGGTGTCGGGTAGAACATCTCTACTAGGCCTTGACTGTCAGTGGCTGTAGGCAGATACAGGACTAATTTGTTGACTGTTGACACCTTGGATTAATGGTTTTCTACCCCTAGTAATATTACTGAGAATTGAAAAAGAGGTGATGTAAAACAGAACCTTTCTATAAGACAGCTTGAAGGGCATGTGGATAAAATTATTAACAACTTTGTCAGTATCTCCATGTCTCTCAAGCTATTCCTTCATATGAGTCCTTATAATACTTACAGCAGCACTTCTTATGCAGCTAAAATGGTATATAACCAAGACTCCTCAACTAAGAAGGTTACTACTTGAAGGGTCATAAAAGGTTTCATGGACAAACCGAAGGGGTGAAATGCAACCTCAATGAAAGCAGCTTGCAGCTCCCAGACTCAAGAGGACCATGTCTTTTTACATCAATTTCATTTCAGTCAAAATGTACAAAACTTGTGTTGTACCTTAAAGCTAATTGAGGATTTGTGGGTCTCTGTCTCTCAGTTGGGAAAGGTCAGCTTTGCGATTTCCAGGTCAGAAGTGTTTGACAGGGATTTAGCGTCATCTGCAACTCAGGACACGCTAACAGGCTTTCTTGTTTAAAGGCAACGGCGTAACTGTAAAAAGGGGCTAAGAGGGCAAAACTGAGAGGAAAAAGAAGGCAATTCATTTAAGTGATCGATCCTTTTGCTTCAAGATTCTCAGACTAGAAGAGGGCTCCTCTTCTTGCATGAGGCATGACTCATCTGTGTTTCCGTTATTGCACTACTGAGTCACTGCAGTTTTCAAATGTAAAGAGGAAAGGCTTCATATCTATGGGGTAATCTGCATGGGGTAATTTGTACCTTCCTGGAAAGCCTAGATCCTTGTTTGGTGAAACAGGGCACTGTGGAAGCTTAGCCAACTTCTCCCATCATCTGGGAAATCAAAGACAACACAGGAGACAAGCAGTGAGATGTACCATTTAATTACCAGTAACCCTTCCAAGCATTCTTATTTTTCCTAGGCTATATAGCCAGACAGTTGGAGTTATGCTGCAGCGTGGGAGAACATTACACTGGGCTCTCATGCACCATATGCCTTTTCATTGACAAGCTAACACTTTTTAAATGAGAGTGTCTGAGGTTTTTATCCAAACTGCATTCCTTATCCCATATCTCAACTTTAGCACCTCTCCCAGAGGAATCTGGGAGTTTGGACCCAGACATATATGCAAATCTAGGGCTTGAACAGGTCCCAGTGAAGTCAGTAAAAAATTTGGTGGTGCTCAACAGGTATCTACTAGGCTCAAGTGAAAAGTAAAGTCACCCAAGAAAAAGCGGGATATAAATAACAGGTTCTTTTTAAAATTAAAATATGACTTCTTTTTTCTCCCTCTCTTTAATTTTTTTTGGACTGTCTTAACTTTACAACCAGCTTAAAGTAACTGAGAAAATATTTAAATTTAAAAATGTTGAATAGTCCTGGACCAATGCCCAAAAAATGTCATGTGACCTCCCTGATACATAACTCCTCACTTTGGAACTTACTGACTCCAGTCAAGAATTTTTGGTGATGATAAAATATTGAAATGCAGAAGAAGAAACAGCAGGAGGTTGAGAAATGAACTTTTGTTTGCAGGTATCACCATTTCCAGAAAAATGGAAAAAGAAGAAAGAACACCTGCAGAACTTCAGTGTATTAAATATTTCACAAGTATAACCTCACAGTTATGTTAATGTAGTCATTTACATGGCAATACTAATTTTTGAAATGTTTGTTGCATTGGTTAATTTGTTCTTTACAGAAGCATTATGGTCTGGAAGCAGCCCCTGGGAGCTACAGAGGCAGATGCTGGTCTGCCATCCTCTGCACATCCCACCACCATGGCCCTGATTCTGCAGAGTGTTACAGATGTGCACAGCACGCTGCAGATAGAGAGATTAGGCTGAGGTGCTGCTTGCAGGCTAGGACAGGATTGAAGAGCTGTATCTACCTTGGAGGCCTGCAGCTAGAGAGCACCTGTTCCCAGCACCCATTTGGGGACGTGGAGAGGATACATAAAAGAAGCACTTTTGTGCCCTATGAGTCTGTGCTTGACTTGGTGCCAAAGCAAGGCAGCTGTTGATGGTGGGTCCCGTACCTCACCAGGAGGGAAGCCAGTGGAGTCAGACTCCTCTGGGGTCTCGCTCCTCTCGCCTTCCCAGAGCCCAAGCTGCCTTTCAGCCCTTGATCTCGGCAGAGATTGATTAGTTTGCCGATCTCCTCGCCCTCGACGTTAAGGTGGAAAGCGTAGATGAAAAAAAAAAAAGGAAACGCGGACATCTGCTCTTTGTGGTGTCCCCGTGGGAGCACGAAGCGGGGGAACGAGGACGAGGGGATAGGGTGAGTGGATGTGTGTGTCAGCCGGCGGGGGGATGATCTAAGTATCTGAAGTCATTCCAAAGGTCAAAGCAACCATTAACTCTTCCCCTCCTCTGTCCTCCTCAGGGGCTCGGGGGAAATCACAGTCCGCCCAAGCTAGATGACAGCTTGCCGGGACTTAATGACAGGCTGGGTGCAGACCAGCCGCGGCCGCCCAGACAAAGGGAGGAAGTTTGGTGCTGCCGCCCACCCGAGAAAGGTGCAGGGGACACGGCGGTACCCGGGGGGCACC